CTCACTTGTGTGGAGGCACGAGTGATTCTTCACACTCTCTTTATTGAACTACACATATCTCTCCAGATGAACGCAATCCTAATCTAATTAGCTGTCCACAGGCCTCCCAGGTGCCACTCTGCTTAACTAGAGCATGGCATGAACAGCAGAGGAGAAGTGTTGCTGCCAGAAAGGTACCTGGCTGAGGCTTTCTTTGCGATGGGAGCAGTTGGGGTCGGGTGGTGCAGTTGCAGGCGTATTTTCTGCTTTACAGGGACACAAAGGCAAAGAAATGTCATGTGGTCTCATAAAGCAATTGCCTATTTGCTTGTCTGTGTTTCCCCACAAGGCCTGAAGCTCTCTGAGGACCTGGGTTCCTGCCAATCTCTCAGCACTGTATCACAGGGCTTGACACAGGGCTTGACACATAGTAGGTCCCAGGTTAGTATTTCACAATAGGTCATTTATACTTGTTATAATACAAGCATCAAAAGCCAAACAACCAAAACATGAGACACCTGAACTCAACATACCTCATGGATGTCTGCTAGGCATGGTAATCATACTTAGGCTGACTCCCCGTGCAAATGGAGAGATTCTGTAGATAGTAACTTTTAAAAATCGGATCCTTTTTTTTTATAAACGAGTATGAGCCATAGCTAAAAAATGAAGCCATGAATCAGCTTAATATCCAGTCTTTGGTGAATGATTTAGTGGATTATGGCTTGTACACTAATAAAGATCAAGATACTTAGCAGTGTGGAAAAATGATTATGATTAGTACTAATCATAATCATGGAGAAAAGGAGAATCACCAATTGTATACTTGCTATTCTGCATAGTGTGTGTGTGTGTGTGTGTGTGTGTGTGTGTGTGTGTGTAGGATAGAATACTGAGGAAGAGTGAAAATATACTGAGAAAAGGTTAAGGTGGTAGGGGTGATTTGTTTTTTTACTTCTCAAAATTGGTGCTAAAAAACTAATCTTATATTCCAAAGCGTTAAAATGATTCTCTCTGGATAGTAGTATTAAGTGGAAGCTTAACGATTTCTTAATAATTTCTGTATTTGCTTATTTTTCTCCATGGCATATTTAACATTTATAATTAGATAAAAGTCATACAGCAAATCCTTACTCCCTTCCCTCTGTCACTTGGGGCAGACAGACCTTCTTGCCCATGGCCGTGTGACTTGTTTTGGTGGATGGGTTGATGGTGGACGTGATATGGCAAATGTGTTTGTGGCGAAGGCCTTACCCTCTTGCACATCTGCCATTACCATGGAAAGAACGTGCTCTGGGTAGGTTGCCCGACCGAGGAAAATGAGAGGCGCATGGAGCAGTACTCAACCCAATGTTCAGCTTGGAGCCCAGACCAAAAGAGCTCATTCTAGAACAGCTGACCCCAGACAACACATGTGTGCATGAGAAGAAATGATGATTGCTTTAAATCATTGAGATTTGGGGAGATTTGTACAGCATTATTTTGACAATAACGTGGTGATAAATTGTCTTTTACAATGTCAACTTTCTAAGCAAAATAGCTCTTCTATTCTTTTTGTCCCATCTTGCTTTCTTATTAAATGGTAGCCCACAGAAGTGGCCAAGGCTTGGAGTGACGGGGCTAACATTTAGCTTGGAGAGAATGTTAACCTGAGGGAACATGTTGAGAATGCTAGAACATCAAGTACTTGAAATATATGACACAATGATGCTAAAGCTGTGATGTTTTCCCTACCATCAATAGCATTATTAACATGTTAATAAGATGCATGAATCTCAATTACTGTGATGCTCAATTTGGGTTCCTCATCAGCCCTACATCATTGCCACTCCCATAGTCATTCGTCTCAAAACTATTTATTTACTGCTACAATGCGATAGGGGAGGGAGTGGGGTAGGAAATAACCCAAAACCAAACCAACAAATGTTAATCTGCAGTATTTCAATCAGTTTGTTGTTGCAAAAAGCAGATAAAAAATGTTACAATTCCAATTCCAGTTGTCAGGACTGTAGGAGAGGGCTGGCTGCCGGGCTTGGAGTAGTGATTTCTTCTTTGTTTGTTGTCTTTTTTTTTTTTAGCTGAGCGATCCTGCCACCTGTTGGCAGCTCAGCTCAGGCCGGGACTCAAACCGCTGTTGCTCAGAGCTCACACTCTTGAGCGAGCTCTTAACCAGCTGAGCCACTGGGCCAGCCCTGGAGTGATTTCTTTAAAGGGCCTTCTCAGTGGGTCTTTGTCTTCCCTAGAAACGTAGCATACTGCAGAGTGAGGCGTGGCTCTGGTGAGAGTGTGAGAAAGGCTGCCCTCTCCAGGAGAACCCTAAAGTGAGGTACCCCTCACCTCAGCCTCCAGAGGCCCAGATGCATGATGGGAAAGACAGCATGAGGTCATTGACCAGGCTGGTTAGCCGCTAACACTACCCTGCGTGAGTTGTGTGTCAATCTGCTTTTGTCTGGTTTGAATCCAGCGTATGGTTCTAAAGCGTTTTCACAACCATCAGCTCATTGAAGCACATGGCTTTGCTTGAGATTGTTCCCATCCTCATTTACAGAGTTTCTGGGTAGGCGGCTTGTTCGGGATGACACTGACAGGAAACGATTCTGCCACCTGTTAGCTGTGTGACCTTAGGCAGTTTACTCAACCTCTCTGAGTACCTGTTTATAAAGTGGGGCTATGCTGTAGTGACGTCTACCTCAGAGGGCTTTTATAAAGATTAAATAAAGCAATGCTTTGGCTTTTCTTTAGCATATTTCCTTAGCTACTTCCTGAAAACAAAGCAAAACAATCCCCAAAAATATCGTATGTTAAGATTTGGTACATACATCATACATGTTCATTGAAGAAAAATTAGAAAAATAAAGTTACCCAGAATTCCACCATCCAGAGATACCAGTGTTAACATCCTGATCTACAACCTTCCAATTATTTTCTTGGTTTGCACGTTCAGACACACTTTTATAGTCACAAGAAAATGGTTCATACACACTGTTTTGTCACCTGCTCTTGCCCCTAACAAATTATCATAAACACATTTTTTTTGCCAATGAATGTTTATATTATGTGTATTAATGGTCGCATAATATTTCATTTGCTGGGTGTAATATAATTTTGCATATCTAACTCCCCTACTTTTTATTTTTTATTTCTTTTCTCATTTTTGCTCTTATAAATAACTCTGATGAATATTCGTGTACAAAGATTCTTGAGCAAATGACTAATCAATTTTAAAGGTAAATTTCCAGATGTGGAATTACTGGTTAAAACCACAAACATTTTAGTGTCACTTTGTACATATTGCCAAATTGCCTGACAGAGAAGCTCTAGCAATTTAAACCCTCATTGGCGGTGAGTGAACGTGCCCATTTTACCGCATTCTTGCTAATATTAGACCTTTTTAACCTTTCTCTGTTTGATAGGCGATAAATGATACTGCATTGTTGTTGTAATTTGTGTTTCTCTGATTACTCCTGAATAAGAAACTGTTTTTATATTGATTGGTCATGGTCTTGATCATTAAAAATTAATTTTTTTCTTATTGATATCCAAGAACTCTTTGTTATTAGATGATATAAATCTTGCCTTAAATATTGTAAATGTTATAGTGTTTCATTTGTTTTTTAATTTTATGAAGTTTTTAGCATTGCATACATTTGAAATTTTTATGTAATTAAATCTAGTAATGATATATATATACATATATTTTTTCTCTTTCATCTTATAATATCATGCTCAGAGAGAACTGGAATACTTCTTAAATTTTTTGGGGGGGAGAAGACATATGTCTGGTATGTTTTCTGAATCTTTGAATGCCTGAGAATAAGTTTCTGTGGCCCTCATGTACAAGTAAGAACAATACCTTGGCAGTTAGAGTATTTTTGACACAATCTTTTGTCCTTAAAACTCTGTAGAGGCCTTTCCACTATTTTCTAAAGTTTAGTGTTGAGAGGTATGTCTGATGCCAAAAGAAGTTTTCCTCATAGTCTGCAACACGGTTGATTGACTGTTGGGCAGAACGATTGCAAGATTTTTCTTTGTACTTGGAATTATAAAAAAAAGAGGCAGGACGTGATAGGGAGAGAAGCTTTTTCATACTTGGGCCTGGAGCTAGTGGGGGTTTGAAGAGAAGACAAAGATTCCCTCAACTCAGGAAAATTGCCTTTTATTATGTGTTCACTCACTGCCCCATCTCCAGGACCTATCCTGCAGGGCTCTGCCTAGGTTCCAGAATTTCCCTCACTGGCTGGCTGCTTTGCTCCTTCTGTTTTTTTTGAATTGTCCAATTTGCTGGTCAGTATTGCTGCTGCGTTTTCACGTCGGGGAATTATTGTGTCCCCTGAAAGTAGTCTTCCCTGATCTTAGATTGTTCCTGTTTCACGGGTACAATCACCTCTCAAGGATTGTCAAGAATCTGAATTTCATATGTTACAAAATGTTTCTCTTTCCTACAGCAAGCCTTTCTCCGATGAGCACTCTTCTTTTGAGATCAGGAGTGTTTTCCTGCTTCCCCATCCTTACAGAGGGAGGTGTATGGTTGCCCAGTTTGAGATTTGGGAGAGGTACAAACAGGGAGTGTTTAGGTTCACATCCAATTGCTTTAGTCTGGGAAGAAGGGGTCAAGAAAAAAATGGATCATGTCTGTAGATTTACTTCTCTGGGTCAGAGTTGCAGTTTTCTAGTAGAGAGACGAAGGAACCACACACAGAGGCAGGCTGTACAACAAGGGTTTCCCCACTGGGCCAGGGTTTCCTTCCCACCGACAGGGACACCCTCCCCGGCTCTAATAAATAGGGTGGCTCCTGCTAGAAGCTTGTTGTGGCAACGCCCTCACATTGCCTATCATCTTGTTTGAACTGAGCTGAAACAGCTGTGGATGTGCCTTTTATTTTGCACAAAACCTTCTCAGCAGATTTTGCTGAGAAGGGGAATTTGCACCTGTTTGGAGTTGGCATCCCATTTAGAGAGAGCAAGTGAAATACGCACAAAGGCCAGCACACCCGGGAATGGTGACTGCCAGAATTACTTACCAAGGACATCTGCGAAGCTGTGATCCACTCGGGAGGAAAGTGAAAGTGAGCCCCAGCTGAGTCTCCCAGCAAAATGATCCCCCGGGGCTGGGAACCTAGGTGGCACAATTTATTTGCATTATTTATGCTCTCAAGTCGTTTACAGCCTCCAGATTGGGCAGTTAGGAGAGTGGATACCCTGGTGTGTATTCCATGCACAGAGCATCATAAGAGTGATGCATCGCCACTTTTCATATGTTGCAGAAACACAGCATTTAGGAGCTGAATGAGATTTCCAGGCTGTCGGAACTGCGAGCTAAACTATACAGATGAAGGTGTGTCTCCTAGCTCAGCAGAAAACAAACAGCCTTGCAACATCCTGACTGAATGACGGATGAATAAATGAGTCAAAATTTCACCTGCACTCAGAAATGGGCCCTAAATTTTGGTTCTGGAAATTGCTTTCTTGGAAAACACATCAATTTCTATTACAATTCACTTTAAGAATTACTGATCTCATGGAACAATTTTGATTTTTCATAGGTGTTGTGGTCTTTCAAAGCCCTTAATCTATATACACAAAAGCACTGGCAGGGCGAGTCTGGCTGGTTCATGAGGAGATGGAGATATAAAAGCTCTCTGTGCAACCCTGTGTGTTACTCTGTTTCCGAGGCCCAACGGCTGCTACCCATGGGTGATGGATATACTCTTCCAAATCCCTGAAGATCCTGGAAGATTCAACTGATGACTCCCAGAGTCAAAGAGGGGAGCCTCCTTTCCCCCACCTCCAAACCCCCAAATCAGCCTCACTCCAGTGGCTTCCTATCTTCAGCCTCTGTGACAGCGAGCACTTGGCCACACAAGTGAGGCTGAGAAGGCCCAGGATATCAGGAGGGGTTGGGATGTGGGGAACCCAAGGGGCTTCCACAGTGACCTCAGAGCTTCACACCAGGATTTCAGTTAGATCTGAGTTTATTTACTCATTAGTTTATTTGTTCATTCATTCTTTTATTCATCCACCAGGCATTTCTAAATTGCATTATTATGCATTGGGTCTTTATATTTTCTGCCCTCTTCCTGCCCATAGGAAAGCTTAGAGACAGTTATTCTTTAAATTGACTGACGGCAAGGACTGTAACTTGTCCACCCATGAAAACTTAGAGCCAAGTATAGCCCTTGGTGCTTAATAGAAATAGGAATTCGGGAAATATCTGTTGAATGAATGAATGAATGAATGAATGAATGAATGAAAAGCTTCTAAATGTTAGGGAAAAGCATCGCCTACACATAAAACAGTGATGCGAATGTTTTGTTTGAGACTCTTTGGACATCACCAGGAACATGTCTTCAGTAGTATGTGGGTGGTAATAGGTTTCTCCTAATAGTACTGGTAGCCCAGGTTACTGAGGCATTTGGACATTTAGAACACAGAGTTTTTGCTCAGCTATTTTTGGGAACTCTGATGGCTATATAGCTTGGAGGTCTCCTTCGAGTCACCCACATGTGAGTCTTTGTCCCACTTGATACAGGGACTCTGTCAGTACAAGCTCAGACATCTGACCTTGTAGCGCATTGAGGAAGACATGGAAAAGACAAGAAATGATCACCTTTACTTGTTATCTTATTTGGGGAAGTGCTGAATTTCAGTTACCCTGTTATCTATCCTGCAGCCTCTTTTAACAATACCATTCACCTTTCCAATGCCCAAATAATTACACAAATTCAGTTTTACTTTCTCTAGATTTTGCATCTTCTTCCTAGTATCTTTTTCATGTCTTTTTCTGATTTGTCATGAAAATAAATGTAAATCGGTCAACTTTAAGTTGTAGCATCAGGCACTTCCTCACTTGGGTCCGTTTGCTTCAATTTGACTCAGACTAGAAAAGAATATTCTAGTGTAATAAGCACACTGATTTTTACAATGCATACCTTCACAGAATTTCTTCTCATATGGAATTCCATCTTTTGGATCAACACCCTTTAAAAGAGAAATGATGAGATTAATAGCTTGTTCATATACCAAGTCATCCCCAAATGGCTTTAAAAAGTACAAAGGCAAGTCAGTAGATAAAAGGCTTTGAAGTCTCTAGAGCTCTTAATCCATCATAGCAACACGCTCTGTGAGGCGGGCTTTAAGGAACGGGGCGCAGGGGTTAGGAGAGGTCCAGAAACTGGACCATCTTGTTCTGAAGGATACAGGGTTGGGTCCTGGTTCTGGGAGTGTCACTGCCAGGGAGCACTGAGTCCACACTGAGTGACCCAGACACAAGGTCAGAGTGCCCTGGCATCTCCAGGGCCCAAGGATTGATGCTTCTAGAATAGCGCTTCTCAATAGGACTGTTTTTGTCCCCCTGCCTCCACACCAGGGGACATTTGGCAATGTCCCGTGACATTTTTGTTTATTACAATGGGGGGCAGAGATGGAAGCTACTGGCATCTAGTGGGCAGAGGCCAGAGATACTGCTGAACATTCTACAATTTACCAGGCAGCTCCACTAATCAAGAATTATCCCACCCACATGTTAACATGCTGACACTGAGAAACCCAGAAGTGAAGTTGGGCCTGAGTGGGACTGAGTGACCACAGCTGAGGGGGCTTCCTAACACTCCAAGCTAAAGCTGCCCACGAGTGGAGTGGCCAGTCCATGGAAGGTTCAAGGAGATTGTGGATAACTTTAAGGGAAAGCTTTAAATATATATAGATATATATATATATTTGTTTGTTTTCTTTTGTTTTCCAAACTGTGTTCTGGAGAGCACTGGTATTCCACTAGATATGAATAGTATTAACAGCATTCTAAGGCAAAAGTTCTCTGAGGGTCCGAGATGTGTTAGAAACTGTGCTCACTCTCTTCTCAATGTACATTAAAACAGTAGAGATGCTGAGAAATCCGGATGTGAGGAAAACTGTTCAAGGTTCTTTGACCCAGCACTTCCTAAACTTGACTATAGAACCCCTCCCTCATGCCTCCTGACAGCCCACTCCACACTGGGGAGACAGTTCGGGAAATATTGGACTTGGTGGTTGTAAAATCTCCTCTGAGGTTATGATTTTGTGACCCTGTGAGTCATTTTTCCTCTGTGGGAAGGGACAGGTATGAAGGCGATATGTCTTTCTGTCATGACTGATAGGGGAGATGTCTTGTCCTCCTCATGAAAGGGCCGTGTGACTGATGATAGGGTGAGTAGGTGGGCTGGGGTAGGATCTGTCCTGTCCTCCATATCTCAGAAGTCATGGACCACTAGTGTCCTGGAGAGAGGAAAATATTTACAGAAATTTTCTCTCCTTCATCCAAGCAGATAAATGAGGCAACCATTCAGAGGCAATTTATCTCGAAGCTGGGGAATCTTAAACCTCAGGGCTCCTCTCGGCATACTCCCTGCTTGTGTGAGTGCTGAGAGTGTTTGGGAGCTATAGAATGTTCCAGGTACTACCATGGTAGCATACTTGGTAAATAAAAAAAGAGATCGCAATAGAAAGGGACCTGAATTTCCAAGACTCGAATAATTTGTTAGAATTTCTTTTCTTGTTTTAATGAATTTTTTATGTTCACACTTGATTTTGTAATTTGGTAAGCCTTTTCTTCATGAGAGCCCCTCCAGTCATATAAGCTCAAGACCCCACAAAACCTGGGTCAGCTGCCACTGCTGTCCTCAGATAAGTGTTTGCTTGGCTTTCCGCCTTCCTCCCCTTTCCTCTACTGGGAAGTGGTAAATCCATTATTCATAGGGAACTGGTACACCTGGACTAGATGCTGTGAGATGTGATAACGACTGGGTAATTTCCACTCTGTCTGACTGGTTTTAAGAAATAGAAAGAAAATGGCTGCAGTGAAATGGTGACAGCAAGTGGTTTGCTCCAACTGCTGTTTGGGGTGCCGTAAAACTTTGCTAACACCACTCTCCATCTAATTTCACACTGTTCAAAACAGAATAAAGGAACTAGGTGTGGGTGACCTTAAGCAAGGCTCACAGGGGCTGTGGCTGAGGGGGCCTCACGTCTTATTACACCATTGACACGCTGCCCGTGTGATCGGAATTCTATCCCCCTCTTCCACACAGCAGAAAAGGAGTTGATGTCGCCTGTCATCTCTTCCTTGGGTCTGACTGAAGCAAACAGGCAGTGGGATTTCAAGGAGGGCGGAAAGCAGGAGAGCAGGGTTACGTTTTAATTCAGTTGCTTACCCAAATGCCATTACAGTTTGAATCCTGATGTGCATCCCAGTTGTCTGGCCTAAGAGGAAAATACCAACATTGGTCACCTAGTGAAGGTCAGCTTCATGAAGGAGAGCATCCATGAGATCTGCACAAAGAGGCCTCGAGGGACAACAGGCTCTTCAATTAAGAGCACACCGGAGCCTCCCCTCACCTCTTTGCATTATGTTGGTTTTGGATAGTCGCGGGGTACTATGGTCCCAACCCAGTCTTTTCATGACTGACTCTATTCCCGAACTGAATTATGGTGGAATGGTGCTAGGGAGCCTATGGAATGAATCTGAGGTCCATTTTATTTACTTAGGTGAAGCCGGTGAAAGATGCCTCTAAAACTCCTAACATCTGGTTCACTTGATGCTTTGGCGCTGCAGCCACAGCCAAGGTGAGATATCCATGTTTTGAAGTCAGAGACGTGATTGGCTGGATATCAGCCCAGGACTAAAATATGACACGTGCTCCAGCCTCTGGAGCCTTCTCCTTCCCCCAGGTGGGAGAGGCTGCGGTTCCTGGGCCCAGTCCTGCATGGAGAGCTTGTGCAGGAGGCTGGATAAGTGTCCACAGTAGCCTGTTCACACAGTTGTCTCTCCCACGAGAGGAGGCCTATTTCTATTTTGTTTACCACCCAGCATGGTGCAGAGAGCTTCGCATTTAGTAGGCACCCGATGAGCCTTTCTTGGACAGTCGATGTCCTTTTTTCACTGAGCTTTACTTCAACTGGGACACAGGGGGTTCTTGTCTCTGTTGGCATGAACCCCCTAGGCTGGGGAAAGGAATGAGGCCTCGTGCCTCCTTTTCAGAAGACAGTTTTCAAGATCAGTGACCAGCAGGGACAGTTACCTTCTGCCAGGGTACACCATGTCGTCGCTGTCATTGCAGTCTCTCCCTCGCCAGTGATAGCCACGCAGGGTCTGAAACCAAAGAGCACACACAGGGAGGGTTCAGTTCTGCCTGAGGTCAGCCACGGCGGAGAGCAATCAGCCGAACGAGGGGCCCTGCCATCTGCAGTTGTTAATTCAAATACAGACTAGGAACACTGGAGATTACTAAGAAAATTAAGATTACCATGATAAAATATGCTGTGTGAGGTGAAATGTAATACTGCACCAGGGCGAATAACGAGGGGTAGTGTATGTGTGTGTGTGTGTGTGTGTGTGTGTGTGTGTGTGTATGTGAACGTGTATGTGTGTGCTATTTGGTGCATGTCGATATGTGGGTACATGGGGTGCATGTGTATATATGTGAGCATGTGTGCACATGTGGTTATATGAATGCATGCTATACACATGTGTGCCTACACACATATGTCTGTGTACATGTGTGTTCATGTGTGTGTGTGTGTGTGCACCTCCATAAGTTGCAGGGCCAGCCAACTCCCTGAACTTTCTCTATTAATCACCAGTCTGGTCAGGCTCTAATCAATTGGTTGTTGGGTCAAATCATTCATCATTTTACTGGATAATTACAAAACCTCTAGCTAAACTGGTTAATTATATGTTGCACCTGTCTGACTTGAAAGACTCAAGAATCGTGATAATGCTGAACACTGTTTTTATTTCCCCCATTCCCAGTTGGAACATCTGAGATCTCACTGACTTTGGAAAGCTTGTGACATCTGTTACTTGCTTGTTTCTTTAACAAAGAACATCCTGACACCCTAACTGCACTAAATCAAACATGCACACTTGCCTAAAGACACACACACATACCCCCTTAGAAAAAAAAGTAAGTTTAAGGAGGTTTAAGAATCTCCAAAATAATTCACAACAGCTTTCAAGGTAATTGTAATTCCCATGGAGGATTCCAGCTGGGTTTGGCTTCCGGAAACAGAAACCCAGGTCTAAGATCCACTTCGATGGTCCATGTATTATTCCTATTAAGACGCCCAAAAGTCTGTAAGCATCTTGAAATGATTTATTATTAAGTTAATAACACATTCAAGCGGACTGTATTATATCTTGTCGTATCAAAGGAAAGATACTTGTAGGAAGTGACGCCATGGTCTGGTCATTCTTCACAGCACTTACAGGGAAAACACTGTGTTTATCTGAGTCGACATCTTTGAATGGCACAGAATGTTCTATAGCTCTGGAAAAAGGAAAACAAAACACCCGGTGAGCTAAGAAAAAAAGAAAGTGTTTGTAAAAACAAGTAGAGCCATTTTCAGATATGGCTGTGTTGAGTTTATGTGACAGCAGCCCATTCTAATGACGAAGTGAAGGGCCTCCGTGGTCCTTAAGAGCACCAGCCCCACTTTGTTAATCTCTGCCTTCCACCAACAGGTTTTTTCTCTGATATTTAACTGCCCTTGTGGGGAAGTGAAATAATTGAATTGAAGTTTAAGAGGACATGGGCCATTGATGTCAAGATTCCCAGGAAGGGAGATGGTGTTTTTGGCCCAGTCGATGAGTTCAGCGCCAGAGGTTGAGTTTACTCCATTTTACACATCCTGTGATGGAAGTCTTTTCTTAAAATTTTACTCTGAAACAACTTTCTCTGAGAATCTTGAGGCATTTAGATGTCATTAGCTGGCAACGTTCACTCCTATTCATGAGGCCGGTAGCCCAAACCTCTCATGTGACTGATTGCCCCATGGTAGTAGACTGGTATCCTGTAATTTTTTTTTTCAGTAAAATAATGATTCTCTTTATGTACTCCCTCATTTCTTCAATGAGTTTCTACTAATGCTCAGCACTGTAGTAGGTATCAGGGATAAAAAGTTTACGAAGTGGTATCCCCACTCTCTAAGAGCTGTTGTGGGTGTGGGGACACTGGAGGTGAGGGTGGGGGGAAACAGTGATAGAATACGGTGCAGAGGCAGGCCCAGGTGAGCTCGGGGTACCGAGGAGGGCTAGCCACGCGACTGAAGTTAGGCTGGGAGCTGGACAACATCCCACGATGGGGAGCCCTCCAATGTATTTTGAAGGCGTTAGACCCAACAGGATGGATGAGGTCAGGGAGAGGCACAGAGCAGGAGTCCCTTCCTGCTCATGGAGAGTTCATCAGAGGATTATGCAATGGAAGACGCGTAGGTCTTCTCTCTGCCACCTGCTGACTGTGCCAGTGGGTCAGGCACTTGCTCCTCTAAAAGTGGGGCTAAGAGTCGAGGGACAGGCAATGTAGGGCCTCCAAGCCTGGCCTTTGGAACCAGGCTGCTGGGGTCAAGCACCAGGTGTCTCCATGACTAGCTCTGTGACCTTGGGCACATGGCTTTACCTCTCTAGGAAGGGGCAATAGTGGTGTCTCTCTTATAGGGCTGTGTTTACCAGAGTTCCTGGTGCAAAAACAGTGTCAGGTAACTTTTTGTTATTATTATTATTACTGAGCCACAGCTTGTTTTGAAGAATAAACAAGGTTGCATTTAAATGTGCTTCATAAACCATAAAACACTGAATTAATTGTAACCCGGTGCAAATGACACTCGAAGCACAATGATTTTTAGAAAGAAGAAAAACACACTGCTTTTGCTTTTTCATAAAAGGAGGACTTTCCTTTTAAATTGGGCCAGGAGAATCCCTGGCCACAGAAGCTCTGGAAATCAGGTTTTCAACGGTGGTTCAATGGAGGAGTTGTCACTTTGGGTCCTGTGGGTTCACGTTTGACATAGGAAATGCAAAGATGCTTTCAAGGAGCAGGCAGGGGCCTGCCTTCAACAAGTGCCAGGCATGATGAAATGGTGGGAGCCTGGGGAGCAGCTGCAGCTCAGCCTCCCGGCATCTCCTTTCACGTCTGATATTTCCCCTCCCCTCCCCATGCCGCCACACTTTCTGAATCCACCCCTATGCATGGAAAGGGGTGTTGATCCTGTTTATAGGGCCCAGGCCGGCACTTGGCACAGCTCATGCGGCAGACGACCCAGGAGAAGTCCGTAAACTCTTGGTCCCTCAGAGGTTCGCATGTGGGCCATAAGCATGGCCTCCTCCTCCCCAGAGACACTTTCATAGCAGATGGGAGATGCTCAGTGGATTCAGCTCCCATGACGCTCATGAGAGGAAGGCATGACGGGATATAGGAAAAGTGCCTCTGTTATGGGCGTTCACCAAATTTATGTTGAAATCCTAGCCTCCGGTCCCTGAGAATGGGACCTTATTTGAAAACAGGGTCTTTGCAGACATTATGAAGTCAAGAAGAGGTATTAGGGTGGGCCCCGATCAGGGGTGGTGGGTGTGCTTACAAAAGGAAAAAGCAGCCACACAGGGAAGATGCCCACTTGTGAAGACGGACGCCAAGGATGCCAGCCGCCACCGGAAGCTAAGAGGCAAGGAGGGAGCTGAGCCAGCATCTCAGAGGGGTTCTCAGAGGGGGCAGGGTCGCAGACGGACCCTGCCAACACCGTGCTTCCAGGTTTTCAGCCTCCAGAGCTGGGAGAGAATACATTTCTATTGTTCTGAGCCACCTGGTTTGTGGGTTTTTATTACAGCAGCCCTAGGAAACTCACACAGCCTCCCAGCCCGCACAGGAGCTGCGCCTCAGGGGAGTAGTGGGCTTAGCTAACAGGAACGGCCTGCGGGAGAGCAGGAATGAAAGCAACGGGCGGGGGCACATGGTGTGGTCCCAGGGAGGGCCTCACAGCTAAAGGACATTACTCTGAGTCACTAAAGCATCCTGTACATGACGGCATCTACGATCTGGCACCTGAATTAAAACCTGAGCTCTGGGCCTCGAGGACAGAGACCATCAGGAGCCTAGGAAAACACAGTGCTCCCTCCTATCCCCCCAACCCCCCCCAGGTCTCTGGCCAAGCAGCCTGCATGTTAAAACTCCCCAAATGCTTCCGAGGCATAGCCATAACTTAGCCTCTACCTTAAATTTAGATTTGGGGACGTTGAGGCTCAGGCACATTAAGGGGCTCAAGTTTTCCAAGCCAGCTCAGGAGGCAGCGTTGCCCAGGGGCCAAGAACATGAATGTTCCCCCAAAAAAACATGGGGTCCAACACACCTGGGGGTACTGAGTGGCTGAGAGAAGCGACTTCTTTAAGGCTCAGTTTCCTTCTTTGGGAATAGGAATACTAACGGTCCGCACTTCATGGTGTCGTTGTGAGAACCACCTTTGGAAACGCACTGCAAGTACAGCACAGCACGTGCGACTGAGAACAGTGTCTGGATGCGACCTGGAGGCAGCAGCGGCCACGTGGGAAGGGGCCGAGTGGAAGGTACAACCTACACTGTTTGGCCTCTTGGTCCAACGTCCCTCTCAGGACACAGTTCTGTCTTTTAATGTTTTGGACAGCGATTACTATGACAACCAGCATAACCGCCTGCTCAGAGTGCACCTGGAGTGTGGGATGTTAAGCTGAGACAGAAGGGGATGGGAATTCTGGGCAGTGTCTCTGTATTGGGAACCCTGGTCAGCCATGTCTCAGCCAGGTGTTTAGGTAATAGGTCGGGCTCTGTGAAAACAGTGGTCCCTTCCCAGCCTTGTGAGGGCCTTGCCCTAAAGATGCTCAAAGAGTCCCTGTCATGGTGAGTTGCTGAATTTGTCTGTATCATACAGAGCAAGGAGGGGCTGTCCCCAAGGGTGGTGTGAGCATGCGATGAACTGCTCAGAAGTCTCACCAGCAGGCGGTGTCCCAGCCCCAGGTATAAGGCAGGTTTTGTGGTTCAGAGATTCTGGTATTCAGTGTACTTCCAAAATAGTTTGTTTAGAGCTGATTTGTCTTCTAGTTTCTGTACAAGTCATGAGCAAGAAACACTTTCCCCTTGAGGAAGAGGCCTTTGACATTTGAAGATCATTTTAGTCATTAGAAAAGAAGGACAACCCCGGATGCTCTCCCGTGCAGGAAGGTAGAAATAGTATACGTACGATTTGATCTCCTGACAGATTTTGGCCAAAAATGGGAGGGAACAAATATCAGAACTCATTCTGGAGTATTTCTGGAGAGAGAAAAAACAAAATAACAAAAAGAGTTGTTTAGTTCAAGGAATGGTTCTCCAATGTCTGGAGGGTTCTAGAAGGCTTCTCTGTTGGCTCCATGCTCTGGATTTCTGAACTCTCCTTCCTCCGGAACACAGGCCATTTTACTTCGCTCAATTTACCTCTTGTTCCTGGCCTCACACTTCGTATTCATCCCACCTCTGTGTCTTTGTTCCTGCTCCTTCCTCGTCACCGGCCAGCGCTTCCACCTTCACCTGCCTTTCCCCTTCTCCCCAAAGGGTCTGGCCCACCTTGGGCTGATCTACTCAGAGAATACAATTCCTCTCCCTCACTATACTCCAGTGCTTTGAAAAAGGTTAGAAAAATAAAGAGCATTTTCAAATAAAAGAATTCCATCCTATGATGAGGTAAAATAGAGACTAGCATGGGAGACATGGCCAGGGCTTGGGAAGGAGTCAGAAGGCAGACAAGGAGTGCAAATGCACTCCTCAAGCTTCGCCGAGCTAAGGGATGTCAGGCGGCAGTTTCCATGAGAGCCCTGGCTTTTTATTAAGCAGAACCGTTAGAAAGACTGTGGTTTCCATGATGCTTTCCTCAGGTGAAACAAAAAGACAATGGTAGAAAAAGTTAGGGATCACCATTTATCAATGAAAGGAGAGAGAGAGTCGATTCCTGCCAACCCGAAGAGTCCTTCTGGTGGCTATGCGTTATATTAACAGTGTTGGTGAAATTTTGACCCTGGCATGGAGAACAGGCAACCTTTTCAAGCTGTAAGTGAGGTCTTGAAGGACTGTTGTGATGTTTGCCCAGCTTTCTAGGATGAGAGGAACAGTTCTGACTAGCGCCCCCATCTGTCTTCAAGGCGTGGAGAGAAGCGGTCGTCCTTGTCCCCATGGAGCTTACAGCTCCGTGGAGCATAGGGGTGGCTATCCCAGCTCTTAGCATGTCTGCGAGAGCCCCAGTGGTCCAGGCATTAACCTGGCTTTGCAGGAACCCAGAGGAGGAGGCAGGAAATGACCCAGAGTCAGGTAGGAAGCAGGCAAGTGGGAAGGCAGAAGACAGCTGCTTTAGGCTTTGCAATTCCAAGTACAGTCCCCAGACGTGCTACAGCTGCAATTCATGGGCCCTACCCAGGTCTCTTAAATCAGAAAGCCTGGGGTGGGTCCCTATGTTTTCATAGGCTCCAGGTCACTCTGATGCCCGCTAAGATTTGAGATGCACTGCTGCAGGTCCTGGCTGCTGAAAGTATGTTTGCAAACTAGGAGAATTGACGCCACCTGGGGACTTAAGAAATGCAGAATCTCAGGCCCCATGGCAGGCCTGCTGAATCAGAATCTGCATTTTAAGAAGGTCCCAGAGTGTTGGGTCACATGGCTGTGGGGAGCGGGAGAACCCCAGGTAGTAAGTCCTGTGGGAGTCTGGCATCTTGGGGACCCACCAAACATTTCGACCTGGCTGGAGCATAGGAATCATGAGACCATGGAGATCCACGGAAGAAAGGAGGCATTACCACAAGCCGAGGCTGCTCGTTACGTTTTCCTGAGGAAACCTTTAGGTGTTAAGCAAAGGGAACACACTTCTATTTCAGGAAGATATTTCTGGGGGTGCGAGAATGGCCTGGAGGAGGCAGGATAGGGGCACAGAGGCCTGTTGGCAGATACAAATCCTGAGGCCTGATCCCAGGGTTTCTAACCTCAGCACTGCTGCCATTTTGGGTGGAATAATTCTTTGCTGTGGGGCTGTCGTGCGTATTGTAGGATGGTTAGCAACATATCTGGCATCTAGTCCTAGATGCGAGCAGCCCAAAAATGTCTCCAGGCATTGCCAAATGTCGCCAGCGGAGGATAAAATTGTCACTAGTTCAGAGCCAGGGATGCAAGGCAGGAGGAGGGGGATTGGGGTGGGGGGAAGGAGGGGTGTTTAGAAGGTTGAGTCCAGCGACCTGGTAACTGATTGAGGTCAGGATTGTAGACACACTGTCAAACAAACCCCAGCACGAAATTACACTACAGCATGGATGGCAATTTGGAAATGCAGACACATTCGGAGTCCCAAAGTTCAAAGTCAGATTGCATTTGAATGCCTGAGCTGCTTCTTTCAATATTTCCTTAATCTGAAGGCCTTGCTCTAACTAACGTAATGGCAATGTAGATTTTAACACTGATGATCATCGATACATCACAAAAAATGGTATGGACAGCCTTATAATTACAACACAAGAGGTGCAATCGAATAAAACATTATAATTGCACAGCTGTTCACGGTCACAACTCAGCCTGAAGGCTGCCGCTGTCTTTGACATTCATTGTGCAGAAGCTGGGGCTAGAATGTGGACAATAGATGACGTAGCTGGCTCCCCAGAACTCCTCCTGTTCAGGCAGGGGTTTTGATTGATTATCCAGGCTTTTTTCATCACATGTGTGTATGGGAAAGACTAACCTCTTCTTATGATTTACTTGCAAAGAGAAACGAAATGAACACAGAACAATACTCCAGAAGTTCTTGCGTGTTTCCCAGCCCCTTTCTTTTCAATTTGAACTTGGCTAGACAGAGGCAAAACTCAATGGACGCAAAATATTGCCTCCGGCTGCGTGTCATCCCATCTACAATGGACGTCTGAAATCTGGGCTGTCCCTGGGCATCGCGTCATGTAGAATCTTTATTCTGCAATCTGTTTAACCAGCTTCTGCTGGCATCCGGAGCTTTCCCATCTACCAGGATGTTAAATGAACGCGGCACAACAACGTGAGCTGAATAAAGTGAAATGCGGTGAATGGGAAAAAGAAAAGGTCAAAAGGGGAGCATCACCACTCTTCCGTACACAGCCAACCTGAAATTGAATTTCTGCACGGTGAAGTGCTTTTCAGTTTTTCTTGTATATTATTTAACTTGGATTTAATTGGTCTTGGATGGAGCTTGAACAGCAGCAATTTTTAAAGGCTTCCCAGAAGATCTTTGAGTAGGTAGGTTCACCATCAGGACTGTCATGTACAGTTGCACAGGTTGTACACTGCACAATTCTAATATCTACACAGCCTGTGGTATGAATGCTGCCTCCTGAAATTTAGCGCTGGGGAGGTCTGGTTGAGAGCTATTGGCATCGTGAAAAGAGTACGAACTTGAAAGTAGCTAGATCTGGATTTAAATATTGGATTTCTTACTAGTTATGTAGAGTAAGCGAATTATTTAACCTCTCTGATCCTTAGTTCTTTCATCTGTAAAATGGAGCTGATAACAAAAATATACTATCTACTTTGTAGGAGTTATTGTGATAATTAAGTAAAGTGATTCCATAACTCAGGTACTCTAGACTCTTACATGTTCATTGTTCTGCCAAATCCATGAAAAGTCCCCCTGAGGAGCCTCTCAGGGCCTCATTGACAAACCATCTTCTTTGGAGCATTTGATTCTCTTCAACAGGACTTAACTTTTCCCAGCCTGGATTCTCACCGTCTGACAGACTGTGCTGAGATGACAGACAGCCCACTGTGTTTCTGCATCCTGACTACATCTGCCTTTCTATCAGCCACCACAATAGAATTAATTACAGCCAATATCCTCTGAGAAATTTTTCAGAGATGCTTATTTGCATTTTTTGATTATTTTTTTCCTTGATAGCTTTAATCTGGAGAGTAAATAAATTGGAGGCGGTATTTGAGGAGTTTATTATTGTTGAATTGTTCAGTAGAAAAAAAAATTTTTTTGGCTTCTCACAAGGACTTATTGGAATCCTGTCCCATGAATTATGCTTTGCAATTCTGGTGACAGAAATGAAAAACTGTAAAATCCTAATTAGCCTTGAGTTAATGCCAAGGCCATTTGTGCTAGTGAAGTAAACAGTGCCCTGAGACGAAATTTTTAGATGCACAAAATAAAAGAATAAAAGAATTGTAATATTCTCCAGTTCTGTTTAGAGTTCTGAAGTGGTGGTTCAGAGTTTCAAGTGGTGTTTCAATTTCTTATTCAATGACTTAAGCAGATGAGCTGAACTGGCTCCAGCTGGACTTCAATCATTCACTAAATTAAACAATGATTGGCAATACAGGTGATTGATGAATCGATCGTATAGAAATGCCAGCATATTGCCATGTGACATGTGTCTGCCTCGTACATCAAAACCCAAATGCCCCCACCGTAGGGCTGCCAGAAAAGAGAGAGCACTGGACATATTTATACTAAAAAAATTATTCATCCCTTATCTGAAATTCAAATTTAATTGGGCGTCCTCTATTTTTATCTGCTAAATCTGGCAAGCTGAGCCTTGAGGAATTCTCCTCTTTATTTTCGTGTTGCCAAATCGATACTACTTGAGCTACAGCGCACCAGGGTGAGTGATGGGCTCGCCAGCAGGGAGGCGCCAGGGTGGGGCCCTGCCCTCTCATCCTTGGTGAACACCTGGGCTTCTAGTATTGAAGGAAATAACATTCTTTGACGGTCCACTTCCCTGCTTCCTTTTTAACTGGGGCTGGTTTGTAACCAGGGCCTCAGCCAGATACTTGGCTCCATGATAACTGATTTGAACTAAACGTTCAATCTGTTGAATCAAAGTATTATTACGAAGGGGACAAATTAGGGAAAGGAATAATAGTGGCGATGATTTTATTAGCTTGTATTGGGTGTGTGATATCAGGCACTTCACACACATCCGCTCTATTAGTCCTCACATCCGCGCTGTGAGAAAAGAACACTGCTATTGTCCCTTAGCTTACTGACGGGAAAAGTGGGGCTCAGTCTAAGGTCACATATTTAGAAAGTGGAGAAGCAGGCAGATATACAGTCTCCCCAAAACAGTCTACTGGGCAGCAGCAGGCCCCAACGGGGAGTACCAGAGGACACCTGGGGCTGCCAGGGGGCATTTTTGTTGGTCATGACTGGGGAGGAGTGGAGGCCAGGGGTGCAGCTGAACATCATACAGTGCACAGGACAGCCCCACAAGACAGGAGTAGCCAGCCCAAAATGTCAGCAGCACTGAGGCTGAGAAATGCTCCTGTAGAGAGAAGACAGGAGGAAAAGGGACGGAGCTCGTATTCCTACTTCAATCCAATTCAGCTGTGGTGCGTGATTGGCTTGTATCTGAGTAGCCCATGGCCTTGGAGTGTGAGCACAGGGGCCAGGGAGGGGTGACCGCCCCCAGGGAGATGCTGGCTTGCTCTCCATTGTCTGCTTACCAGAGTCGGGGATCCCTTGACAATCTGTCTTGCGTTCTCCAGTGTCAATTTCCACGCCTCCTAGAAAAACAAGGTTAGAAAAATATTACCACTTGTGGCTCATCTTCTCTTTCTATGTCTATTCTAAACTTGGAGTTTTTAAAGTCTGTGAGTTTGCAACAAAGAAATTATTCCATAAATGTTTGATAAAATAATTCATGAGAAGGCAATTTCATGTTAATAATGATCTTTATGAAGGTGTTCACTCCGTGCCAGATGCCATGCTAAGTCCTTTGCAAACATCACCTTATTTAATCTTCACGACAGCTCTGAGAGACACGACCTTTTTACAGATGAGGAAATTGAGACTTATAAAAGCTCAAGAACTGGCTGAAGATGACAGAGCTGGAGTCTGGCAGAGACGCAGCCTGAACCCCTGCCTTCCTGCCCACTGACCTCCCTGAGGCCTCACTTGTCCTGGTGTCTGAAAGTACAGGGCAGGACGCTGTCAACAGCCATCCTGGGTGCTTTGTGCTGCATCACGGAGGGACCATGGGCCAGCATGCAAAACAACACCCCATCTCTCTTTCACCTCCTCCTCTCCTGGTTAGACACCCACTTCTTTCAACCTTTTCTGGAGCCTCTAAGCACATCTTCTGAGTGTACATTGCAAGTATAAAGAGTTAGCTAATTATTTCCAGTAACTATTGTTATAGAGCTCCATATGTGTGTACTTGTGGGAGGGTTGGGAGAAAAGTAGCCCTGGGCGAAAGCGGGGTGGAGAGCTTTTGCTCCCAGCACTACGTCCCAGAGGTTTTGTGTCCCCCACCCCCACCCCCTGCCATGTCCTGCCTTGCCACAGTTCTCCTTGGTCTGCCCCTTGTTTGGCCCTAATAGAGCACGGGTGGTGGTTTGCACGCCTGGGTTCAAACCCTAGCTCTGCTGCTTACTAGCTGTGCATCCTTGAGCAAGTTATAATCTGAGCCTTTCAGCACCCATGGGATCGCCTAACAAAGAAAGCTCTATTTTTATCATTGGCAACATAGGGATTATAGCTCCGTAGCTCATAAGGGTGCTGTGAGGATTATAGGACATCATTCATGTAAAGCCCTTAGTCCTGAGCCTGCCCTGATAATCCGCTGCTCAATAATTGATAGGTTAATTGGAAAACTCCTGTGTCTCAGCCCATTTTCTTCTCATCCAAATCAGTAGGGAAGCTGGGATTGGAAGAGTGTCCTAGCTGTCAGTCTAGGTAACTGAGAACATTGCCCTGAACGTAAGCATCACAAACGGAATGAGACCTGGGAGCTGGCTGGTCCGCAGGAGAGGCCTCTTGGGAGATGCTACCAGTGGGTGTTCAGGACCTGACGCCCTACGTGGCTCCTTTGCATGGTCCTCACCTTGGGAGAGGCCTTCCTCCACCCTGGAGCTCTGTGTGGCTCTAAGACTTCAGCCATGTTGAATGGACATGCGCGGAGGGGTGACGGTGCAGGATGAGACTGGGCTGGAGTGAATTTTCCAGGAGGTGCTCTAGGGAGGAGTGTGGCAGAGCCAGCTGCCCCTTGTGCCCCACAGGCCGGCTCTGAAACCCTCTGCCTGGAGTCTGCCCTGAATCACACGCCTCCAGCTCAGGTTTAAAGGATGGCAGACCATAGCCCTTGTGTCAGAGGCAGCAGGCCTGCTGACATGGAAGAGTGCACGTCAGTGACTTGAGAAAAGGAGCCTGGGCCCCAGGATGCCCTTGTACCGTGTACGTGTCTTAAAATACTGAAACACTGCTGTGCCAGTTGGTGAACAGCTGTATTCCTGAGGCTGTGAGTGTCCTCACCACTGCCCTGACCATCCAGTCTCTCCCTCGGCCTCCTTAGACCTCCTCATGACCAGTCAACAAAGGGGCCAATGTCCTAAAACAGCCAGGTGGCACCTCCAGACTGCACGCCAACACCACGCCATGTGTGCATTCTGATTGGCTGACAGCAGGGCCAAAACAGTTCATTACAATCCTCACTTTTAAAACACGGATGTCTTTAACAGGAACACTGCTTAGGGAATGGCCCCATTCAAAACTGACTTTATTGAATGCAATTTTGGCTCTTTCTGGACATTCCAACAAGTCTTGGACATTCTTCTATTGTATACAAGTAAGCATCTCTAGCAGGGTCACGATAAGACACAGATCTAGGTGCCAATTTCTGTTATGGTGCCCTTTTTGTCTGCCCTTGTTAGCCTAAAGCTCCTTCTCCATTATATTGAAACTTGAAGGCGGTGTTCCTGTACTTTAATTATGTGCCCCTTGCTTGTCTGCCTCAGAAATACCTCTTTGCATTCTAAGGTCCAGTTGAAGATCGACAGGGCCTTGCACAGCCTTTGCTACGTAGTAGGTGCTCAGTAGATGTGGAAACAAAGTGAAATAAAACATTTATGGTATGTCAAACAAGAAAAGCAGGCTACCAGATTTTACAGACACAGAAAAAAATCTTGCAAAGAAACATGCAGCAATAATGGAGGGTGATAACTTTTTCCTTTTGGTTCTTTTCTGTGTTTTAAAATTTTCAATAATGAGCATAAAGTCAGCAATACGTGCTTCAAAAAAAAAAAAGAAGAAGAAGAAGAACTCAATACATGTTGCCCTGTTTCTTATTGATAAAGAAAATGATGAGCTTCCAGCATAGGGATGGGGTGAGAGTCTAGAGATCTGGTGGTGAACAGACATGCTGCCTTCCCAGAGTTTCCAGGTTGGCAAGGAGACAGACCAGAAACAAGGACAATAAATAGAAGTGAGATGAAGCAAAAAGTGGGTCTTGGCAGTGTCTTCCTAGGAGAGGGTACTTGGATTCCCTTGAGAGAACCAATCTGATTTTTACCCAGCTCAGTTCTCTGGGGGAACCAATGTTTAGTGAGGAATAAAGACAAGTAAAATAATAAACTAATAATAATAATAATAATAATAATAATAATAATAATAATAAAGTTGCAAGGATTGTGCCAAATGCCTTCTGACTCCCTCAATGCCAGGCATGATTGATGCTTTGTGGTCCTGGCTGGAAGGCTGAGGGAAGGTTCACCTGGACCTAGCTTGACCGAGCACCACTTTCTCCCACAGTTCAAGTGCACTAGTACCAACATCAGAAGAGAATCTAGATAAAGAGCTGATCTTTTTTCCCCAGAAGAAGAAGGATCTAAGCCTCAGAGACATTTGAAAAAGCTAATTAGTTTGCCTGTCTTCATGACAGGCAAAGGGGGCAAATTATAAGCCATGTGAAAATGAAGACGATTATTTTTCCTTGGTAACCTTTTCACTGTTGGCAAGCTAGTGTTTAAGCCATCATTTCTAAAGTATGAGGACCACCCTTTCATCTTCTGTAAAATTAAAACTTTAGAACAGACAGTGCAACTGTAATCAGTGGATGAGAAGAAAGTTTGGGGCAAGATTGTGAGCTGGATGAAAAAATCCCTGTGGTTGGAAGTCATATGATGTTTATGACTCAGCCAGAGCCGTCATCTGAGGCATAAACAGATTTCCTATCAACAAAGAGGAGCTTGGTTCAGGAAGTGCTCATTTGATCCTGCAATTTGTTACGATCAAATCTTTTCTGCTTCTCTTTACTTTCTCCCTTTGGCGATAGTGCTTCCTTATTCCAGCTTCAAATCCCCTTCAGAGTCTATTTAACACTCATGCGTGGATTGCCGAGGAAGCCATCACACAGGCTCCCAGAGACATAAGCCTTCAGCCTTGGGTCTTATAGTTCAAAGAACCATGAATATGTATATTGCATTTCTCTACTTAAGAACTTGGAAAATTCCAAGGACAACATAGCATGGTGACTTAGCTGTCTACGAGGGCCCAGCCCTTTGCTCGATTATCAGAGCACATAACAGTATAGGAGGTCTGACAATTAAGTTCTTGCTGCAATGGTGTTGCTAACCTTTTTTGATATCAGAGGGATTGTTCATTATGAATAAGTACCAACTGGACAAACAGCTAACTAAGTTTATTTGGAAGTGCTAAAAAAGCTGCATGAAAAGTTAAGGCGACCTGAACTTTTCGCCAACAATTCATGGCTCTTGCATCACAACAATGAACCAGCTCACACGGCACTGTCTGTGAGAGAGTTTTTAGCCACTAAACAAATAACTGTATTGGAACACCCTCCCTACTCATCTGATCTGGCCCCCAATGACTTCTTTCTTTATCCAAAGATAAAGGAAATATTGGAAGGAAGAAAATTTGATGACATTTAGGACATCAAAGGTATACAACGACAGCTCTGATGGCCATTCCAGAAAAAGAGTTCCAAAGTTGCTGTGAAGGGTGGACTAGGTGCTGGCATCAGTGCATAGCTTCCCAAGGGGAGTACTTCGAAGGTGACCCTAGTGATATTCAGCAATGAGGTATGGAGCACTTTTTCTAGGATGAGTTCGCGAAGTTAATTGTCATACCTTGTATGTCAATGGCAGCTGGTTGAAACGCTTCTGTCAAGAATGGTTTAAGTGTCTCTCCAAACCAGAGCCAGGCCAAAGTCTCCAGACAAGGGGAGGGACTTGGTGACTACTACTGCTCTTGCTCTCTGGAGTGATGGTTCTCGACCTTCAGCTCTGAGTGGCATGGATGATGGAAGAACATGGGCCAAGCATGCACTGCCTTCAGCTTCATGGGCAGCGGGGGTGCCCTGGTGGGCTTGCCCTCGGCCACGCATTAGCCACATGGGAGTCCAAGCAAAAGGAAGAAATTGTGAAGTTTAGCAGTTTGAATGTGGGAAAAACTTCCATCTTTGGTGGAAGCTCTTTAAATGTATTGATCACCAGATCGTGGTCTCCATTGTTATTTTCTTATTTTTTTTTATTGTTAGTTTCAGGTGTGAAGAACAATGCAATAGTTATCCTTTTCACCCCTCGCACAGAAACAACCCCCCTCTCCCGTCTACTGCCCTCCCACCCCCGATATCATACTTATGTATTACAATTCCATTGACTCCATTCCCACACTCTATCCACATCCCGTGACTATATGTATATGTAATTAAGTTGACATACAATATTATTCAACACCAGATTCAGATATACAGTGCGGTGGTCAGGCC